CTGACATGTCCACGATCTTCACTTATTTTAGAAACAAAATGATCTTGAATTGGCAGCTCAAATAGGAAAGTCACTGCTTGACAGAAATCGAGAGCTGGACCGTCAACTTCGTGACTCGGAACAGCAGATGGCTGCTGCCATGGAAACTGTATGCTTTTGGCTCTCGTCTGTGACTTGCATGTTATGAGCACCTTTCTTACTAACCCCACACGATCTAGTAGCCGATCCCAACAAGTTTTAGGCCAGCTATAAATAAGCTTGCATTCAAATCCACTATTTCGAAAAGATAATAAAATCATTCTTCGTAAACCAATAATTTTGAGATTTCGGTGCGTGTGCGCATATGGTTCAACACTAACCGATTGAATTGTCCTTTTTATTAATTCTTTTTCAATAGATTGCAATCGGCGAATTTTAGTGACTCATTTTAACTAGATTTCGCTATTCATTAAAATACGTAAATACGTTTTATGAGTTTCTCATTGGAGTGCGTTGTAATTTTGCGTAATGCGTCTTGTAACCAAAATCTATGTTGGTATCCTACATGAACGCACCAATCTTAGCTTAGTAAAGCTGCTTTTACTTGCAGTCCTCAATGGAGTTCTTAGGATACAATTCTCTTGCTGCTATCTGGTTTCGATACCTCATTGCCACTTGAGACAGCCCGTTTCCGGGTGTGTTTTTCATGTTCACTGGGGTTTGATATACTTTAACCATACAGAAAGTAAACATAGTCCCCTTTCTTTAGATAAACCAGCTGGAGCATAGTCTCGGCATGAAGGAGGAGCTGCTGCAGATGTGGAACGAACATAGCGCCAACGAGGAGGATATGCCTTCTGATGACACCTCCCATGGCGATTTCGAGGTGTCACGGTTGCATTGTCGAAGTGAAATCTCTGGGTAATTTTTTTAAAACTCACACTGTGTTACAAGGTTTTCCCTTGAGCGGGCTCCTTCGTATCCGGTCAAATCTATTCGATGTTGTCTACAAGCAAGGGTATTGTTTTTCCATTAATAATCGGCCTACTTGTTAGGTATATTGCACTAAATGAATTCATACGTAGGCCAGCAAACATTCTATTCTATTCTGTATTTTGTTTTTTAATTTGCTAAGGTGGGTAACACAACGAGGAGGTGTGTTTGATATCAATTTGTGTTTGCTTCACTGCTCCCTCACAGTCACCACTGATTCCATGGTCATCAGCACAAGTGCTTTTTGACCCATGCCGCCAGAGAGTGTGAGGTTTTATCATGGACATTGCCATGACCCATGCGCACGGTACCTTTGCATTGGTTCTTCTTTCTGCTAAACTGAATATGCGTTCTGCGGGTATCCTAATCCTCTCGACCAATTTGCCACAGGTACCCGGTCACATGTCCCTACTGCCAACACCCCCTCTACCAGTCGCCTTGCCCGTCAACGTCCACGCGGTTAGTTTACTCTTCTCGAGACCGCCAGCTTTCGTATGCGGTTACGCTTACAAATCTGCCATTTTGTGGAGCCGTTCCTCTGTGCTCGCTACTTCTGTAATTGACTTTGAGTCTAGTGCTTCGGCCTTTTGGGTCACACATCAATGGACTGGGTAAAAGTTGCATAAGTACAACTTCAAATCGTGGGGGATTTGGAGATTTTTGCAATTTTTCTTTCGAAAACAAGGTGTTTCTATTACTCACTCATTGTTGTCTGATGTGCGTTTATGCTTACAAAATTTGTTCCTTGTATGATATAATACAACCACTTCGAGGCTTTATTTCAAATGGCACTGGTGTTGGAGGACAGTTGTGTTGTAGTCGCTTTCCTCTTGATAACCTCACTTAGATTTCACGGGATACATTCTTCACCCGATCCCGATTAAGTCAATTGTTAAGCTTTTCCCTATGCGAAGTGC